CCTCCGCTGAAACAAAATGCATGGGCAGACAACATGGCAGACCACAGTGGGACACAGACGTCGCTGTTAAGGCATGTGGACAAGTGAAGTTTCCTCACAGTAATGCACTACGTGTTTACATGACAACAAACAGTGTGTGGATAAAAACCGCCATCGTCTGAACACACACCTTGAGCAAAACGTATGTTTAGACGAGGATGCAGTTTGCTTTATTCTGCTTCAAGTAAACTTTGAGAAAATTTAGATAAAAATAAATAAATAACTTTAAGAATATGCTGCCAGCACAGCAACGTCCCAGAATAATTGAAAACTAAACAGTTTACTCACCCTTTTTTTGTGTTGTCTTGATTTAAAATTTTGAACCTAAAGGTGAAATAAAGCAGAATAAAACGACTGCATGCGTGCTGGTCGTGGGGCTGAYGTGAACAGACTGAGTGGTGGAGGAGAAATGATCCAACAGACCCAAAAATAAGCTTCACACCGTTAGGATAAACAGCTGCACCTGTGTTTTCGATCACGACGATACATTGAAAATAATATAAAATAACAAAAAATAAAATCTACATCTAGGCTCTTATGTGAAAAACTTCTGCGAAATATATAATCGTATATAAAAGACAACCTATGTGCATCTAAAGTTTTCTTTTCCTGTATTATAATAAACATTAATTAAGACACTGCTTGTGAATCTCTGTGGGTGTTGTCTCGGACAGCTAAGTGGAATGTCAGTCAGTCTGGGCTCGTGGTGCTGCGGCGCCTCGCACGGCCCTCTGCGTCACCACGCTGGGTGTCYTTTTGCATAGTCTGTAGCAGTCTGTTTCAGTCTCAGAAGCTGCACGGAGGAAACCTGCTCCGAAAGGCACTGCCTGTCCGGGTCCGGCCAGCACCGGGATGCGTGGCGGCTCTTTCCCCAGCCCACGCGGCATCCTCAGCCGTGACGGCGCGGTGGCTTTTCACCGCCGTGGACCGCCTTCAGTCAGAGCGCAGGAGAGAGAGAGAGAGAGGCGAGTGCGGAGAGAAGTCCCACTCCACAAACATAAGCGGGGAGGTGGGAAGGTGTGCCGGCACCAGGGGCCTCTGGGTGGGCGCCAAAAAGGGGGACTAAAAAGTGCAGGGGGCCCTTTTCCCCCCCCTTGTGACAGCAGGGCTTGTAGTGGGAGCTGCAGTGTTTGGACCCGTCTTTCTGAGCAGTGCTGGCTCACCTGGGAGGTGGAACTAGGTCTCCCCTCCCTCTCTTACAGTTCAGTCACATGAAGAGGGTAGCTTGGCGGAGGGTGGGCGGGGACCTTGGACTGAAGCCGGTGGATGTGACAGCCATGACACAGGAGGTGGCCTTCCAGCGGGTAACAGCGGTGACCTTCCTCATCGTTTAGCTGAAGACCACAGTCCTGAAACACAGAAACCATCAGTTCTCTCTCATCTCTCTACTGGCGCCATGAAGCCAGTCAACACAATTTGCTGGCTTCTTTAGACCAGTGGTTCCCAAACTTTTTATCTTACGACCCACAAAATATCCATCCATCCATCCATTTTCTG